TTAAGGAGGCCATGTTGGTCAAAAATAAATATGTTGACAAAGATGAGGACAATAGTCCAAATAATTAGTACATAATCATCTCAGAAATATAGATGATACTGAAGGGTCTAAATCTAATAAATATGGCGACAAAGATGAGGGACAATAGTCCATCCATAATGTAAATAGTGTACATAATACCTCATCTCAGAAATATAGACAGATACTGAACAACAATTTCTTTTCTAAATTTAAAATTCCCAACATCTCTCATTCATACACATATGTAGCAGCCTCAATTTAAACAAACCTTGTCTGATGACATCCTGAGGGATGAAATGCATGTTTTTTTACTTTCCTATGGCAATACTTTTCTATTCCTGTTACATTAAACATATTTGAGGAGCAAATATGCCATGGATGGAACTGAATTTTTTTTTAAATAACTGTTCAAATCTCTCAGAAAAATATCAGTCAATTTCATGCTAAAAATCTATTTTACACACGACTGTTACTGCCTTTTTGAAAATAACATTTTTAATAGTTATTTCTATTAATTCTTTCACCTCAGTATGACAAGGATGCAGGGGTGGGGTTATGGGGAATGAAAGAGAATGAGAAGACTTTAGGAGAGGTGAAGAAAAGGACAATAAAAGAACAGGAACCAGATAGAAGATGGTGATTGACATTGCATTTAAATTCTTGAAGATTGTAGATGGCAGGGAAGCAAGAAATCAGAAGGGAGTTCCACAGATGAGAAGTGCTAGAAAAGAAACTATTAGAATAGAAATAGCAGTTGCATCTAGTTAATTCAACAGTGAGACCTAATTGCCAACCAAGTAGTACACTTAAATTCATGTAGTCAAGGAGCTAGAGAAAAGAGTTTATTATCAGAATGTTGTAACCTAAGAAAGGTTACTGAATAGAATAATCACATAAAGGTTGGTAACGAATGATAATACTTAGGACACAAGCAACGGCAGAGTGTGGAAGATGTAGTCAACTGCTAGAAGTGAATTCCACAATGAATCTTCAACTCTAGGATATCTACCAACCGCCCCACACGGTCAGATGTGGCACAAGGCTGAATTTAATGTGAGGTATCCGAGCCTGTAAGCTCGGCCAAAAATTCCCCATTGAGCCTGTATAAAATGGGGTCAAATAGTTGTTTCCCAGAGACGAGAGATTGCACTTTTATATAGCCTTGTCTGGGGATTCTCCCTGCCTGGAGGTAGAGAGTTTGACCAGTACAGCTGGAGACAAATCTCCAACTCTAGGCCACGTACAGTATTCACTACACTATGGGAATGGGGGCATACCCCTTATCGTCTGTAGGTATAGAACAATTACCATGAAAATATTTTTAGAAAAGACAGAAGGAAGACACATGTCAATGATTGAACTCGAGATCCCAGACTATTGTCCTCATCTTTGTTGTTATTATCATAACAATTGTCTATCTAGGTAACCTTCACAGAATTTCAAACAGCCCTTTATTTAATCTACTAATTAGGTTTGTTCTCGTTCTGCTGACATGTCTAGGGATATCATCTTCATTTCTTAGTGGAATGACAAGTCTTTCTCCGTAGGGTTTAGTTCAAAATTCCCTAAAGGTTACCTGGATTGACATACAAGTGATAAAGGCCAGAGAGTACAATGGTCAAAATGTGTCAATCATAACAAAGAGGAGGATAACAGTCTGCATGTAAATAGATATTAAATTATGGAATTTAAAGCGATACGTTTTGAGCGTATTTCAGGTGCATGTGTGCGTCCACATATAAACTATTAATGTAGAAGCAACAAAAACTTGGCTTTCTACTACAGACAATTTCTTCTTTTTTTTTAATTTTTTATTTTTAAATAGAAATTGTTGAGAAACAAAATTCTCAATGTCTCTTGGGCATGTCCATATTCTTTTTTGGTTCAGAATGAAGTTAGAGTAAATAATGATAAGAATGGTTATAATAGTCAAGCTCAAGTCAGCTTTGTGCAGAGTTAGAACAACCAAAGTAAAGGTTGTACTTCATGGGTGGAAGCTCTACAAAACACATTCGCATGCTATATGTTGGAAAGTGTGAAGAGAGTGCAGTTCTGTCCTTTTCAGAAGTGGGATAATAAAATTGTGCAGATGACCAAATCTCTTTTCAGTTCCTTTATTACTAGCATAATCAGAAATTATATTTCTTTTATTTTTATTTATTATGGATTGATTTTATTTAATTTTCCCCTCAAACTCCTCAATCCAGAAATTCAGACAGAAAGAAACATTTTTTTTTTTTTAAAAAAAAAAACAAATAGGCTATTTTGCTAGTAAATATAGAATATATTTGAGATTGTCAGCACAATGATTATGTGAGCTGTGTAGGTAGGATTTGAACAACATGGATTCTGTGGTCTGTAACTGTTGCCTTCAGTGGGTGTATTGGCAAGTGAACCATGCCCAAGGGTAAGTTTGGGATTTGCAAAGACTGTTATATGCCTGAAGTATTTAAAATATTTAGAGACTGCTATATCTTTATTAATAATTGTTAAATGATTTTAACCTGTGTTTTAACAATTGATGCTGGAAAAGAATTTAAATTGTTTTAATTGATAGTGTAAATAAATAAACTCCTAAGAAACTTCTGTGTTAAATTGGCGTGTTGTTATTTTTAACATTACCTGCCTTCGGAATAATAAAAATAATTACCAGCAAAATGAGCTTCAAAGAAATGTTTGTTTATTTTACTAGGATTGGCAAAATAGCCTTATCCATTTTTTTAAAACACTTTTCTATTAAGCAAAAGACGTCAATCAGGACTAAATTCAAAGTCTTGAATAAACTCACTCATTCTTTCAATGAAAAATTCTTCTGGAAATGTAGAATACCTGTAGGGCAGCTGGGAGGGTAATCTATTTTGGCAAACACTTTTTGTAGTTTATGTATATAAATAAAATGAAATATCTGCCTGTTTATCCTTTTAGATAAAATTAGTTCCTGAACAATGTTGGGAACTTTTAATTTGCATCAGTTTTCTAACACTTTTGTCTTGGCCCCTCAACCTCCGACGTCTTACTCTCGAAGTTGAGGTGTCTATTCAGTCCTAACCGAATTTAAGGGAGTGCTATAGGTCCCCTGAGCACCCATAGATTATTCAACCGGTCCACTGGTCTAATCCTGCTCCCTGCTCATGCTGTGATTTGTTTGATCCAGAAAGTGGAAGTGATGTCTGTCCATTCACGGTCGACTGAAGATGTAGACACGGCTGGGGAGTCTGTGCTAAGAAATTTAGAATGCAGCAAAAAAAATCTGCAGAAAGCCGGGCAAACATCGATTCAATGGTTGAATTGGTAATGTCTTTTATATAACAGAAAAGAATAGTAGAGAAGAGAAACGGGTAACAGAAAAGAATAGTAAAATTCTCTCTTCTCTTCAAGAATTTTCTCCCGTCTGTCTTTTTCAGCATAAGTACGCGTTTATATAGATAAACCCGGCTGGTTATAACTGACCCTCGGCCCTACTACTTCGCATGTGATTATCACGGGGTTCTGGCTGCTTCAACCAAAATCATGTGAATTCCAAAGTTCCTTCTAGCTTACTCAGCTCTATTTTAATTTTTAATCGATAAAAATTATTTTGACCATTTCCACTGTCCTGATGAATCAGATTCAATGGGTACAACTTCTGCCTTAAGATGAGACTTCCCCATCAGTAAAAAAAATGCTCCGATTTATTTAAAAAAAATAAATAAAAAAAATACGTGTGTGTGTGTATCCCAGACTCTCTGTCACAGTTTTTGATGGAACCATCAATGCTTGAAGGAGAAAATAAGAAGAGAGAAGAAGGGATATTTTTATGACAGAAAATTTATTTAAGAAATGTAAGGTTAATATAAAAATCTGGTGGCATTTCCAGAAGAAAAAAAATTACATCCTGACATTTTTGGTTTTTTTTTTACAATGGAAATCAATAAAATTCAGAAGGAAATTTCAAAAAATTATTAGAATCTTTGAGAAAAATTATCATTATATATATATATATATATATATATATATATATATATATATATATATATATATATATACTTTACTCTTCAGTCCAGGCCATTAAACTCCCAATGTTTCTGTTGTGCAATCTGACCGTTTTCAGGTGTCTGCTTTTGTACTTGGTAACTTTCTTGGAATTCTCAACCAAACCTTTTATTCAAGAAATTGGGTTTCATTTCTCTTTCCAGGTTTAATGGATATTTTTTAATGTTTTTATTCATTTTGTGTTGCTTGTCCATTTCTTACATGAAATCAGATCATGTGACTTTTCTACATTACTTGACACAGGAATTGAACTGCCAGGGAACCCGGTGTTTTAGACATGTAGCCGAGTAAAACTGATTCTCTTTCCTCAGTATTCTAACTCTATAAACGAATTATACCTAGCACTGTTATATTATTGGAAATTTATATCATTATTAATTTTTTCACTACAAAATTTTTCATCTTAATCTTGCTTGCTTTTTATACCAACACTCCTTGATTGTTGTCCAACCGCCATTGGGATTAAAACATGTCAGTTTCCTTGGCAGTTGTGTGTCCAATATCTGGGGTGGGTTTTAGTGGATGAAATGGACACACATAAGTGAATGAAAGAGGTGAGTAGAGAAAAGAGTTATCTCCCTTAAGGACAGAAAAAAGTGCTCAGTTTGAAATTGCAAGAAAGAAGAAAGAAAGACACCTGAAGAAGGTAGGAGAGTAGAATGGTGGAAATGTTGTAAGCATAACAATTAAGATCAACCAAGCATGCTGGACTGAATAGCAACGTATATAATGATGAAATTTAAAAAATAGGTTTAAACAAAAAACAAACCATTCTATTCTGATGACTGAATCTAAGTTTTTTTGTGTGGAAATCATCAAACTATATATATATAAAAAAGTAAGTTTTTAAAATAGAAACTGTTTTATTGAATGATGTAGGTAATAAAAAGTGAAATCCAAACCTGATTAAAAAAAAAAAAAAAAAGACAAAAAAGAAAAAGGAATGCTTATATGGTATAAATTCCCTGATTTTGATGTCGGGCTGGCAAACTGCTTTGTAAGCCTGTGGAAAAAAACGACATATTTTAAAAATAATTGTACCAGTGTCATGGGGAGTTAAAAACAAATTGAGAGGAGGGGAGAAAAGCATAAAATAAAAGTTAAAATATTTTGTAATAAAAAAAAAAAGAAAAAAAAAAAAAAAAAAAAAAAAAAAAAAGTAAAAAAAAAAAGAAAAAAAGAAAAAAAAAAAAAAGAAAAAGTAAAAAAAAAAAAAAAAAAAAAAAAAAAAAAAAAGTAAAAAAAAAGTAAAAAAAAAAAAAAAGAAAAAAAAAAAAAAAAAAAGAAAAAAAAAAAAAAAAAAAAGTAAAAAAAAGTAAAAGAAAAAAAAGTAAAAGAAAAAAAAGTAAAAGAAAAAAAAGTAAAAGAAAAAAAAGTAAAAAAAAAAAAAGTAAAAGAAAAAAAAGTAAAAGAAAAAAAGTAAAAGAAAAAAAAGAAAAAAAAAAAAAAAAAGAAAAAAGTAAAAAAAGACAAAGTAAATGAAAAAGTAAGTATGAGAAAAGAAAAAAGAAAAATAAAAGAAAAAAAAGAAAGAAAAAAAGAAAAAAGTAAAAGAAAAAAAATACACTGAACATACACTTATATTCCAGTTGGAATATAAAAAAATAAAATTATCAGAAAAGAAATTTCCACAAAAAATACCATTAATCTAAAATGTCCAAAAAACAAAAATTAATTTTGTGATTCTATTCTGCTTTTAAATTTGAGGAAAATTTCACAATTTCCATCAAGAAAAATCTATTTTCTGTTTTCTTTTTTTTAACTATATTAATGCTAAAATGTTATCAATATTTACATGGCCTAGATGCTCACTCATGGGTGAAAATCTAAATAACCTAATAGACTTTACACATACATGAAACATTTCAGAAAATGTAATAGCAAAAATATTGAAGTATCAGTTTCATTTGTTATGACTATCAGGGATTTTATAAGTCAGTCAGTTATGTTCCATGCATGATACGTTTGGGTGATCATGTATCTTTTGATACATGACTGACAAAACAGATTTTTTCCCATGATAGGTTGCCATTTTTCTTTCTCGGTGTAGATCAGTTGCCATCCAAAGCTATAAAACCTGGTCTGTCCTGCTATTTACCCATAGCTGGATGAAGAGGATTCATACCTTTCCCAAGGGTATTAGTACATAAGTGAATGCAATGGATTTGATTGGAATTCAAACTCGGCTCTCCAATTCCTCAAATTGAGCCGCTATCCATTACTCCACCGTGCCTCCTCTTACAAGTACATAAATGAATTATTAGTGCAAAGAAAAAGATTTAAAATAACTACCATATAAATATCATCACATACAAAGCTCAAATTCAAACCAATTTCATTTAATATATATAATATTGCACACTGAGTGCTGGTGTTAATAAATTAGTGCTTGTTGATGTAGAATAACAGAACTATATCATTTATATTAAGAATAAGTATACATTTTTTTCCTCCCCAGTAGCACATCTGAGTTTCATGCACAACAAAGTTATCAGGTGCTGATTGAAAACAGAGTTGTGCTACTGGTGAGAAAAAAATGAATAGAGAAATTATAACATTTTTATTTTTGTGTTGTTTAATTTCATTGATTAAACAAAATTAAAAATAACAGGAATTTTCTATTCTTTTTTTTTTCATATCTCCTTCTCTGATGAAGCTTTAATAAAAGTGAAACATGTTCAAATAATAAACATTTCCTATTTGTTCCTTATCCTATCATTCTCTTTGATTACAATCCACATTTGATCCCAATTCATACATACATTGTATATATTAAATCAAATTAGTTTGAATTTGAGTCTTGTATGTGATAATATTAAAATGTTAGACAGTTATTTTAAATACTTTTTAATTCTAAAAATTAATTTGTAGTAAAAGACAATATGTATAATGGCAAAAGGACATTAGGAAAACTATGTAGTTTTAGTTGACTTGTTTTGTTCAATGCAGACTTTTTCAACGTCATCACAACAATCCAAACACTATTTCTACATATGAAAAGTTCTCTTCAGACACAGAAAATAAATGACTTAAATTTCAGTTGACCCAATGAATATATATGAGCATTTCTAAATTCTTCTGGTAACGAACATTTTGTTTTTGCTTATAGATAGTTTGTTCAAAAAAATTCATTTCGTTTTTGCCTTGAAAAACAGTTTTCCTATTGTCTTTTCTTACACACACACACACATTTTATTTATATATATATATATATATATATATATATATATATATATATATATATATATATATAATATATGAAAAATCAAAAAAATTTTTTATCTCATGTGGAAAATAGACAATTTTGGCAGACAATGAAAGTGGTTGTCTTTTCAACTCCGATGTGGAATGAAGTTCAGGTCCATCGAGAGAAGTCAGTTAACTGTAAGGAAGTTATATTAGAAGCTGAAGGGTCAATTTTTTCAATGAAAAATTTTACACTCTGCATAAACTCTCAACAGTTTCAGAGGTGGGTGTAACTTATGCTTAGAAGAAAAAATTAAAATAATAAAATACAATAATAAAGCCATCTATTGAACCAGAGGAATGAATTTGTGTTCAAATGCCGACATAAAAACAAATTCAAATTTACATTATATAATTTCACCTTAATTAACTACTCTATATCACTCCCTAACTCCCATCCCCTCTAAATCTTCAAATGTCGACATAACAAATTCAAATTTCCTTAGTATAATTTTTGCCTTTTTTAGTTACCTTAACTCCCTCCTTGACTCCCCTCTCCTCTAAAATCTTTTTATGCTAATTATAATTTATAATATATGGTGACATCTTTGTTGCCATATTTATTACGACATTTTGGCAGTTGTATGCTCCAGCCTTCTTCAGGTGGTTGGAATGTCAAACTGAACCCTTTATTTCTCTCACTGGTGTAGACTGTTCTAGTTCCACGTGCCATGTTTAATGGGTGTCAGTTATCTACTGTTAATTTCCCTCTGAAAGTTCTCCACTGCCTTAACAATTTTTGTAAGACTTCAAGAACACCAGAAAGCTGTAGCACCAAGAGAAGTAAAAAAATATCAGGCGTGGCTGACCACATATGGAGAGAGAAGGGAGATCACCGCCCTCTGTAGGATCAGGTTGGGATCATAGACAAAGAACACCATTGGAAAATTCGTAAACTTAAGGAATCAGTACATATGCTAGGCCACAAAAATCTCCTGAGCTGATCAAGCATAGAAATGAATACAATATAGGAACCAGTAACAAGAAGTGCCAGAGGAAAGTGATAATAACAACAAAAACTATTGTCCTCATCTTTGTCACCATATTTATTACAACATTTCAGCCGTTGTACACTCCGGCCTTCTTCAGGTGGTTGAAATGTCGAACTGAACACTTTATTTCGCTCACTGGGGTAGACTGTTCTAGTTCCACATGCCATGTATAATGAATGTCAGTTATCAGTTATCTCCTGTTAATTTCCCTCTGAAAGTTCTCTACTGCTTTAACCGGGTATTGAAGTCACACTCTTTGGGTTCTGTCATTGGATCTAACCAACGCCTTTATCCACTGTGACATGTGTCCTTTTAATATTTTATATTACTAGGATCCACTTGGATTATATACCAATGGATTTATTACATGTATTATATATTATTATTATTTTATATGTGCAGTACTTATTGGAAAGTGCTCAATATCAGTGATAGAGCTAACATATTTAGTTGTATGGATATAAATTTATGACCCTGGGTTTCACGATTTTGTGATCATCAGACAAGTTAGAGCTTGTCTGATGATCGCAAAAGCGTGAAACCCAGGGTCACAAACTCATATATATATATATATATATTTGGAAAACAAGATGTTCTATTACAACATCCTGTTGGTGAGTTAAATAATTCATTTTGTTAAACACACACAAACCTTTTTAAAAAAAATTACTTAGTAGCTACTCTGTAAAAAAAAATGAAAACACACATCAAAAAATATATCTTTCACTTTTATGGAAAAATGGAAGCCAGGACTGTTGAAAATGATTTGTTTTTCTAAAAACCTAACATGGAAAAGAAACAGGATGCTTTATGCGAACAAACACAACCTTAAACAATGGACCTTGTCCTCCAAAAAAGAAACAAATGTGAATGACTGCAGTTTCTAAAATTTGTGCCCAAGCCAGAGTGCAACAATTTTCAGAAGACTTTTATGTCAATGACAATATGCTATTTTGCATATTTTCTTATAGTGTTGATCTTGTTAGGGTGGACACTAGAAAGGACCATGTCTAAAAACCATTTGACAAAAAAAGCTTCTAACAAACAACCCACTATGAAACAGAACAACTTTGGGGAAAAGTAAAGATATGAAAAATGATTTAATCCATGGTTTTTTTTTTTTAAGAATGTGCACGATGTGTGACAAACCTGTTAATAAAATTGACAAGATGTGACCATTTTTTGTTAACGTATTGTAAGGCTGCTAGTGCTAAATGTATTAAGCAACTATATCTACAAAAATTGATAGCCATTTTGCTGCCCTAAAAATAAAGCTTGCCAATGAAACAATTGACCATAGTATTTTGAACGTAAACTGCAAGCATTCAAGGGGGATCCATTTCTTATCGATGTTGTGACCATGTAAGAATACAATCATTAAACTGCAAATCAGGCTTGCATCCGAGCTGTTAGTCATGTTGATCTTGCATTTGATGACATTACTGCATTTGTAACTGATTCAGTAGCATATTGTAAAGAGGCGCATACGAATGTTTTATCCAATATATTTGTAAACAGTCATCATGTCTCGTGTTTGGCACACATTTTACATTTTGTTGGTGAGGCATTCTCCAACTGGCCACAATCAACTCAATACTTTCATTAAGTCTGTTTTCCCCCCCAGAAAAATCTGGACGAAAACAGAAATACCTGAAATGGCACAGAGCCTACTTGCCTATCAACTAGTGAAGCTAGAATTATTATTAAATAAAACTACGAAGCAAAGAACGTCAGATTTATTCACTCCAGCTGTTGTCGCCAATTC